TGATGTGTAAAAATTTGGTTGTTGTTTATTTTCCAAAAATCTTAGTTCATCAAGAAAGAGTTTTTCAAAATTCAGTTCAAAACAACAATTGTCCAACACAGTTTCTTTATTTTGACAAACCCGATCTGCTTCTCCTAATATTTTTAGCTCCTCACCGAAAATTTCCTCAAAACTTAGATCTGACTCTTCTTCTTCTTCCCTCGGTCTTTCCTGAATTGAATTATCAGGGGAAGAATGAATTGGAACAAGAATTTGGCTTAAAGGTGTTCTTTCCTGATTATCGACCTGTTTTCCTGACTGTAGTGCATTCATTTGAGTGTCCTTAGGATTGACCACGGGTTGACTCAGAATTTCTCCTTCCTCTACTTCACTTATGGCACTAGCTAGTTGATCAATATGGGTTTCTAATCTAGCTAGGGCTTGAGTGTTAGAGTTAAGTATGAGTTCGGTTGATTGCATAAAGGAGTTCATCGTGTAGGATGTTTGAGTTAACATATCCATGGCTAGTGTGGAGGCCTTAATAATGATTTCAAAACCTTTTTCCAAAAAATTGAGACGTTCATCATGATCTGTATCAAGAGGAGTGTGAGTTACAACTTGATGATGAGGAGACTGATTTTGATGTGACAGATTGGGTTGTTGAAGTTGTGGATGAGAATTGAAAGGAACTGTGTTTTCCCTAGGAAAATGTTGGGTTAAAGAGGGAGTGAAGTTTTGAGTTTCAGAGTGGTTTCCCTGATTCCATGCAATGTTTGTGTAACTTGCCCAACCTGAGTTGTAGGTTGGAAAAAATGGATCATTTACCGAATACTGATATGGACTCTCTACAAACTCCCGGACTTCATTGGAAATTTCAATCCTATTGGGATAACATAAATTTTGAAAAACTTGTGGATTAGCCATTTGTTCAAAATGAATTTGTTGATGTGTATTGTCCCTAATCCACGTTTTGCATGCACCAAAAACAATTACTTTTTATATAATTTTTTTTTGTTTTGGAAAAAAAAAGTTAGTTTTTTTTGAAGAAAAAGGAAAATCCTAACTAAAACAAATCAAAATCATTCACTTTTCATTCACTCTAACTCTAGGATTAAGCCTAACTCAACTAGACTAGCTCCTAACCAAAAATTCCTTAAGTGAAAAGATAAAAGTTTTACCCGGATAGTTAGCCAGGTAAGGATAGTACTAGAGGGTGATCAAAGATCAATTAAGTACCTCTTTCCTTGCGGAGCGCTTTACGCAACCCCTAAACCTTGCCTTAGACACCAACTAATCTGAGAAAACTTAAACCGGTTCACTTAAGGATTTCTTGTTCCTTATTGAGCTCGAATCCTTAGGGGCCAACGTCTAATGAGTTTTATTAGGTTTGGGTGATGTAGTGAGGAATTAGTGATTTTTGGGCTAAGGAAAGGGTGATGAAATCCCTCACCTTATCTTGATTATGAGGTTTTGCCCTTAAAAATATTTTGAAGTGTGTGCCAAATCAAGATGCTCAAATCACTTGGTGAATTCCTACTAACTATATGAAATGCAACCCTATGAATTAAAAGCAACTAAAAAGGATGGAAGAAAAAAAAATCATTTTCTTTTTTTTTAATTAGGGTTAACAATCAAACAAATGAGAAGGGGGGATTTATTTGAATTTATTATCTTGTTAGTAAATGTCAAAGTTAAGGGTGAATTTTATTATGGTCAACGAAAATAAATTTTTTTTTAAGATCCTATTTGTCACTAATTGTGAGAAACTAACTAAAGGTGTGGAATTGAAAATATAAGGAAGAAGACTTACCACAAGCGAATATCTAATTCCTCAATCTCCAATTCTTGATCTTTAATCTCTAAGTAGTTCTTTCACAATAAACACACAAGTTAAAAAACCAAAATAATTAAAATCTACTTAAGCACCTTCCCCGGCAACAGCGCCAAAAACTTGATGCGGCATAAACATGTACCAAAAAAAAGTTGCAAGTGCACAACCGTGTCAAGTTATAGTATTTAAGATATCGATCCCACGAGGAAGGTGTTTTGTAGGAGAAAATATAAAATCGGTTCTTATTTCGTGTGCGTGACAAATAGGAGTGATAAGTGAATGTGATTGTGAAGAGATTGAGAGAATGAAAATGGTGTGTGAATAAGTGCAAAGTGTAAGTGAGAGTGGATTTGAGTATGATCAATAAGGTGAGAAGGAAAAATGAATAAAAAAAATCAAGAATGAAGAACAAAATTCTAGAATAAAAGAAAATGCAAGAAACTAAAGATGGTGGATTCAATTATAGATATGCATAATCTAAAATTTAACACACTTCTTAGAAAAGGGTGATTCCCTAGAGGGTTCTAACTTAAAGGCGAATCAAACAAAATAAAAATAAACAAAAAGAAAAACTAAACCCAAGAGGGTTCTAGCCTCAAGGTGAATAGTATAAGAAATTAAAATCTAACTACAAAATAAATTGCAAAATCTAAACTATAAAATAAAATTGTAAGAATTAAATGCAAGAAAATAAATCTATTCTATAAGCATGAAATAAATCTAAGGCAAGAGGGTTCTAGCCTCTTGGCTATTTAACAAGAAAATAAAATCTAAACTACAAACATAGAAATAAAGCTACACTAATAAGCAATAAAAGAGAAAAAGAAAAGAAATGGAAACCTTCAAATAATTCTCCATATTCATCTTCATCTTCATCATCCAACAAAGAGAAGAAGAGAAAAATTTAAAGTGGTGAAAAAATTATTATTATTAATTGCAACAAAAGTTATAATTTTGGAAGGCCTTCTCAATTAAGAGTAGCCCTCCTCTCCAAAAGGAGTTACAAAAATTTTCACACCTCTAACCCCTCACTCTCTACCCCTATTTATAGTAATCTTCAATGAATATGAGCCATTGGATTTGTCTTGAGCCCCAAGCAACAATCTCCACCATTGAATTTGCTTTTTGTTCTTTTCTAGCCCAAAATTCATTTGATTTTCCAAATTAAATCACATCCGGTCCATTTCATTTTCCATTTGATTTTCAAATGTGCAGCCCAAGTCCATGTCATTTGTTTGATTTTCCCTAATTTCATTTGATTGAGCAAGTCCGGCCCATTGGAACTTTGTAGCCTTGGTTTCCATTTGATTTCTTTTCTTTTCTTTTTTTTGTGATACAAAGAAGCAACCGGCCCATTCAAGCATCTTGGCCCATTTGATTTTGAAAATAAAAATGCTGCAGCAATGATAATTGGCCCATACAAAGCATCCGGTCATCTTTGCAAAAAAAAAACCAATCATTCCAACTTTGCATAAAAATCCAATCTTGTTTGCATCCGGTCTTGTTTCCTATATATATATATATATATATATACCCTTTAAAAGAGCCAGTTCCTGAAAAACTTTCCCCTTCCCAAATTAACCTTCAACCATTTTAAATATACCCAATTTCTCCCTTTAAGCCTTACAGAAAATTCATCATCAGCATCGGAAGCATCGGAAATTTCCCACCTCCTTCCTCTCCGCCGAAGCCGAAGAGTTCATCGTTTACCCTTCTCCGACGAAGCCGAGGCGTTACAGAAATTTGCAAAGATAAGTATTATTCATCGGTTACCCTTCTCCGCCGAAGCCGAAGCCGAAGCGTTACAGAAATTTGCAAAAAAGAGTATTTCTTCAGAATTTCTGCATTCATCTCCACAGTTTTCAGAAATAGAGCATTCAGGAAGATATTTCTTCTTAGTCTTCACTCCTCTATACAAAACCCTAAATCTAAGCGTTAGCTCTGCTCAATTCATCATATCCCCTTTTAGTTCTTCAGTCCTCTCATTTTGTTCTAATTTTGCCCTAATTTTTGATTTCCTACAGTTTCAAGAGACAAGGGTTTAAACATTCCAACAGCAGCTGTATCGAGATTATAAAGTAAGTTGAGTTGAGTTGAGTTATTTTAATTTTCAGGTTGTGATTTATACAGCAAGTTTTTTTTGGTCGTTTTTGTTTCAATCATCTTTCTGATGTAAAACACGAGGTAGACTGTTACCATTTAGTGCAGCATGGTAGACTCGCTTCTCAGGTAGCCAAATGTCTGAAATATTAGGTTACCCTGCAGCAAGGGGATCATTGAATTAGCATAATTGTACAAATACATGCAATAAAATTTATTTAATAGGCTATAGACAAGTTTTATCTTCTACTAGATAAGTAAAACTTGAATCAAATGTTTGGGTTCAACTGATCAACTTGCACAGGTGTAGTTCATCCCTTCTTAAGGAAAAAAAATAAAATAAAAAGCCATTAGGCCAGTATTCCGGCGTAATTTCATCAATAAAGAAAATGTCTATATGATAACCTATTCATCTATTGTTTTTGAGAACCATATGTACAAGTTTTACACACTAATGGATGTGACCGAAAAATAAAAAAAAAACAGAAATACCACAGAATTTAGTTACTAATTGCTTACCCGATTAATTTGCATTTTCATGAATAGTTTTTAGCTAACTGGCATTATGATCATTAATTTGTCTGCCTGATTCCTTTTGTACCCTTTAAATTATGCAAGCTTGTTCTTCATTATATGTTCCACTTGTCATAGAAAACAACATAACAATGTGTGATAGAAGACATATAAAATGTACCTCATCAGCCATGAGTTTTCTAATATTGCAAGCGTAGAGTTTGGGATATTCTTTTTCTTGTTCGGAAGGCTAATACACAGGCAAGCGGGTCACTTCAATATAATTAACAAATTGGCAAAGAAGCAAAAAGACATGGCGAACCTGCCAGACAAAGTTTGAAAATGTTAAAATTATAGGTGACCTTATAATTGATCCGAAACAACTTATGAGAATGAAAAGAGAAAATAATAAGTGATCAAAAGCGCAATGCAACAAAGACAACTATTTTATCGTATAGTACACCCACACAACCAAAAAGGGCTTTAGAAGCAACAAGGCAATCAATTCCCATGAGTTAGAAGTTAGAATCTTTAACCATAAATCAATTGCTAAAACTAGGTATCTATTATGGTGTGCGTAGAGGAGGAGCTACCAAGATCTGTATAAGTCAAGCAATCTTTATGTTGCACACAATCTATTACCCTTTAAAAGAGGGAGTTCATGAAAAACTTTACCCTCTCCAAAATAGCCTTCCACCAAATTTAATTACCAACATATCCTGAATTCATAAACCACTCTCCCCTTTCATCGGTTACGCCTATATTCCTCCTCCTTTCAATTCATCGATTACGAGCCCTCCTCCGATCTTCCGTTACCTACACCAAGTTTTAAAGATGAAATCAATTCAGCAGTTCATCCGTTACCCTTCTTCTCCGCCAATCTTCTCTGTTCTTCCGTTACGCCGTCCCACGATCTTAAGCCATCAATCTCCAAAGATGATTGTCATTGCGCTAATCATCAACGCTGCGCCTCCGCCATCATCTCCTCAGTTGTCAGAATTTTGGCATCGGTTAGAATGATTTTACTTTTTTCCTCTTCATTTAATTTTGTTCTAATTAGCCATCATCTCATTTTTCTCTAATTCAACAATAGGTCAAGGATTGTCCGAATTAGGGCTTGCTTCAAGTCTTCATCTTGCTCCTTTGTCAAATTCGTCAGGTAAAAATTCATTAACTATATTTTGTGATATTATGGTTTCTGTCCTTTTAGTTAATTTTGATGAATTATTATTATTATTATTTTTTGCTGAATTGAGGAAATTAGGGGTGAAGGACTTTGTTAAATAGTATTTGCAGACACAAGAGGGGAAACTTGAGTGAGTTAGGGAGGGCTAGATTTGTTTCTAAGTGTATCAGTTTTTGCATTGATTAGATCATGTTCTCACATCTAAATTCCACAACATAATTTACATGTACAAGCATATTGTGTGTGTGGGTGTATATACAGATTACACAATCTCTTTTCTTTGTCAATTGTCAAACATAACCACGTCAATAGAGATGACAGCCTTGGCCAAAACAAGAGATCACCATATGCTAGCTTAGAAACATTTAAAGTATCCCCGATTATTTTTGGCGTGTGAAGTGTGTATGAAAATGTGACATACTTGTTACCCCAGTTTCACCTCCCTCCTACAGTCAACATTATTAAGCACTGGGAGATTGCTTTGCAGAGAAAATAAATATCCATGAGTGTAGTCTTTCTGAAAAAATTAGTTTTTTGGTTGCCTGAGAAGTAGAAAGTGGATTATTATTTGTTTTTAAATTAAATTAATGTGCCTTATCCACTAATGGAAATAAAATTGTCTATCAAATTGACTAAATCCTGATGATTATAGTGAAGAGGACTTTAGCGTACTAAATGTGAAACCATATCTTCTATGCACAGGCATGTACCATCACATGACACAAACTTTTTATCTGGAGTCTGAAAATGGAAATAATCTCCTGATCTTTCGAGATATGGTTCTGCTTGAAAGCATAAAGTGTCTTACACTAAAGAAATTTAGATTTTTAACTTGCTGGTTTTTTAGCCAGATAATCTGTTCAAAATTTAAGCTTTAGCTCGAGTAGAGCACATTTGTGTTTGCATACTGGAAGGAGGCATATCAATTATTTTCATTTAGATGGGTATAGGGAGAGAAAAAAAGGGGGGAGGGGGTTCTCTATGGGATGCCATGTATATTGGACACAGGACTGGATGTCGTGTGGCTATTAGCAGTGACAATGAACTATTTTCTGTTCATAGCATGCATATAAATGATGTATATGTATGTATCTACTACACAGTAGTGTGTGGTTTGAATGGTAAGGAACTATGAATTACATAATTGGTTGCTATGAATCAGCCATATAATTGTTTGTAAGTCCAGCAACTTGAATATAATATTTACATTAGTAGTTACGTCATTTAAATACTTTTATATGAGTACACATTTCGAATGAAGTTGAAAATTTTAGTTACCATACACATCAGGGAACACATAAATAATTGTCATGAAGAAGAGTGATACAAACAATTATCTGTGTATATGATATTATGGTCTATAACAGCAGAAAGGCTACTCTAGCTTCCTAGATGCAAAACATTGGTTCTTACAGTATGGATACTGATCTTCTGATGAGTCGTAGGAAGATGCAGGACACAATGTAAGTGTAGTGAATGAAAAGTTATGCATCAGTTGTTTTACATTAGCTTTTATTGGCAAACATAAGATTTCTTCAAATAGAATATCAATTTGTTCCATCTTGAGCTGCCTTGTGCCCATTTCCAGTAAATAAATTATCCTCTGTTTGTGGAACATATATACTATTAGTTGTCTACAGAACCTTCTGATTCTCCTTGAGCATTCACTTGTGGAACCTAGATGGTCCTACGCATTTATTAGTGAGCACAGAGCATAAAAGTTATCCTCTTAAAAGTATATAACATTTGAAAATCATATGAGAAATTAGAGATCAGTAAATTACCATGTATGTATATTTGCAAGACTAACAATTGACTGTTATCTGAGATTGGTGGGTCTATAAATAGTTTAATATGAAATAATGGAGTGAATTTTTGTACAGAGATATTGGACCAAGAAAAGAAGCAAAGACAAGAACTATTGAAGTAAAATGTTGGATTTGGAAATTAGAAACATAAATACCCTATTCACTTGTTTGTTCGGAATTAGAAAAGAAGCAAAGACAATAACTATTAAAGTAAATTAGGAATGCTGTAATAGAAACCAACAAAAGCCAAAGGCATCAGACAGATTTTGAAGATAAAAAAAAAGAATACAGAGGTATTATTCGTCAATTGTGAGATATGGTCTATTAGTTACATTCCAATCTCATATAAGTGAGCCGTCACCTCATACCCATTATTTCCTTGCATCATATTGGTTTGCCTTAGTGGAAAAGAGTAGTTTGGGCACGGGTACATTCTTGAAGAAATTGGTTAATAATACTTCATTCCAGACAAATATGGTTTTTTTTTTTTTGCTCCTTTGCCTTTTTCCTAGCCTTGGGCCTGTTATTCTTAACATGCTTTATTATTGTTGTTGTTGTTCTTGTTTTTGTTTACAGACAAATATTGACGGGGAACAAGTGAAGGCTGCCATAAGAGCCCAGCAAGACCAGCAGATTGACAATGTAAGTGATGCCACACTGGAATATTAACTTTGGTGTTTGCGACCATAATATCATATACACAGATAATGAGTAGCCATTTAAACTGCTTTCTGCCATCATGTGTGCATGGTTTTTTAGCCAGATAATCTATTCTAAATTTAAGCTTTAGCTCGAGTAGAGCACATTTGTGTTTGCATACTGGAAGGAGGCATATCAATTATTTTCATTTAGATGGGTTTAGGGAGAGTAAAAAAGAAGGGGGGAGGGGGTTCTCTATGGGATGCATGTATATTGGACACGGGACTGGATGTCGTGTGGCTATTAGCAGTGTCAATGAACTATTTTCTGTTCATAGCATGGATATAAATGATGTATATGTGTGTATCTACATACACAGTAGTGTGTGGTTTGAATGGTAAGGAACTATGAATTACATAATTGGTTGCTATGAATCAGCCATATAATTGTTTGTAAGTCCAGCAACTTGAATATAATATTTACATTAGTAGTTACGTCATTTAAAGACTTTTATATGAGTACACATTTCGAATGAAGTTGAAAATTTTAGTTACCATACACATCAGGGAACACATAAATAATTGTCATGAAGAAGAGTGATACAAACCATTTAATTCCCCCTCTGACTGCATATATAATATATAATAGTTACACCATAAATAGACAAACCATTTAAAATCTTTATACAGTAAAAATCTTTAAAATTAATAGCAGGGAACACATAAATATAATGATGCAAGGAAAGAATGTACCCGTGCCCAAACTACTCTTTTCCACTAAGGCAAACCAAAATGATGCAAGGAAATAATGGCTAAAGGAGCATTGGTATTATACCCAAGAGTATGCATCTGTGTACCCCAGTCACCAACGTGGTTCCGTCGTAGAACATCAAGTTTAGAGAATTTCAGCATTCGAGCTAAAGTGTATCCAATTATATTTGACCTTAAATGACCAACATGCATTTCTTTTTCAATATTAGGTGAAGAAAAGTCAACCACCACCCTTTTAACTGATAAAAGTGGTGCCCATGTCTCAATACCATTCAATAGCATATTTTGTATATACTGCACAAGTTGTAGATGTGGCCGAGAAGTTTAGTGGATGTCTAAGGAAAAGTTAGTTGTTAAATTTAGTGGTGAGGTATGCAAATTTTATAATACTACTAAAGAAAATTATTACAATGTTGAAAAAATTTGTAGTTTACAAAATTGAATGTTGTAGTTTTTAAAATTGAATGTTGCATTAAATGGTTAAAAATTGGTAGTTATGTGCCCAACATGTCCGTAAATTCACTGTGTGGTAAATTCACTGTTGAATGTGCCTACATTGGTTTGATGATCTTAGTGCATAGCATAGGACACTACTTTCTATCTAAAAGTTTTCCGCCCAAATACTTAGACTTAAGATTTCTGCCACTATTACATGAGCTCATTGGATTAGACTCTGAGAGTGGAATCAATATTGTAGATTGAATTACTAACATAAGCAATTTTTTTAACTGAGAAGGTTTCGATATCTTCAAGTATGTCTTCCTATGTATATGTCTCATATTCCGTTATATTCTTGTTCTTATTGGTCATTGTTTGAAAAAGAGTAAATTGTTTCCTGCAGGAGTGGAATGCTCCAAAACCAAGACATCTCTCTCTCCTGAAGGGTGCTTTACAACGTGGGCTTGTGAGTGGAGCCGTTTCTCCAATATTAATCTTTATGCTTTGTGATGATCTACCTGACTGTATTCAGGTATACATATCCTTCTGGAGATATTTATAGTTTGATTTCCATTTCAACAAGAATTCAATTTACCCAGTAATTTGATTCTTGCTAACTTTCATTGTATCATTCAATGTTAGCAACAAGTTAGGATTTTTAACCGTATATGCATTTTCTTTAAGATAGGTATCTAGCTTTTTAAGCTATGAACTTATGCAGAGCACAAATGAAGCAGACTTCTTCGCTGAATACGGCGAAGCGAGCCGATACCAGATTCATGAGGTGGTCAGCAAGGGAAGTTATGGGGTCGTCGACGCTGCCGTGGATACCCACAATGGAGAAGGTGGCTATCAAGAAGATAAACGATGTCTTCGAGCATGTTTCGGATGCTACTCGCATCCTGCGAGAGATCAAGTTGCTTAGGCTGCTCCGCCACCCTGACATTGTAGAAATTAGGCACATAATGCTTCCTCCCTCGTGGAGAGAATTTAAAGATATTTATGTCGTTTTCGAGTTGATGTAATCTGACCTTAATCAAGTTATCAAGTCAAATGACGATCTCACGCCTGAACACCATCATTTTTTCATGTACTAGCTTCTGCGAGCTATGAAGTATATCCACACTGGTGAATGCCTTTTTTCTTGCTGGCTTGGTTGGGCGTTGACAACTATTTTTCTCTAACAATTTCAATGGTTGTTTGTTGTGTGTTGTTGGTTATCAGCCAATGTTTTTCATCGGGATTTGAAGCTAAGATCAACAAACTTTTTCTTGATTGTGCATTCACTTTTATCACGTGCACCATATATATGGTTGATTAGGTTCCTTCACTATGGACAATATTCTAATTAGTCCTATGAGATAATGTTTAGTTGGCATTCATCTTGTGTATTGTGTATAAGTTCAATTCATAATTATGAAAACATTATTAATTTTGACTCTTGTAGTTTCTTAATATGTATCACATGCAATGTATGTATCCATATGTTTGATACATGGTTTAAATTAAATAAATCTTAATGAAATGAATAAATAACAAAAGAATAAATTAAAAATTTTACCACATGCATTGCACGTGCAATCCAACTAGTATATATATATATATATAGAGGAAACTGTAGATGAGCTGCCAGCATTCGTTCAGCGTGCGCTGCAGGGGCTTCTTAGTAAAAAGACCTTGAAATAAATCCCCGTGACCTCTCTCTCTCTCCCCCCCAAATCTCAACTCATCAACGCATGACTTCAAAAATTTCTCCAAATCCGCTCATCTCTCTCACATTTCCTCTCAATCTCTCCCCAAATCCACTCACGAATATGAGCCGCCGCTTTCTCCTCCGACGAGAACAGCCCTCCTCCGACGACATCAGCCCTCCTCCGGCGAGACTCGTTGCCGCTGTTCCCCCAAAGACACCATCACCGAGGTAAATGAATCTCTTCTTTTCTTTTGAATTTGTCGACGCTTGGATTCTTTCTATGACCCTGCCCTGTTGATGGGAGATAGTTAATTGGTGATTTCAGTCTGTATTTAGGAAATTAATGTTTTTGAAGTCAAGTTCATAATATAACATGATGAAATTATCAGTTTCTTCAAACTAAAAGGGGGCAAATGCCAGAACTCCTCAAAGTTATAGAGAAAACATCATCAGTAGGTTTAACCTGCTTACAAAATAAGCAACCTAGAACCAAAATGCCCCCTTTTGCCGTGAAAAAGACACCCAAATTTTGTTTTTTTAAAGTGGCTATCCAGATTGCTTTAACTTTTTTATAATCTTTCAACAGTCAAAAAGTCGGCATTCAATGATTCACAGGCTTCAGGAGTTATTTAACTTTTAAGAAACACCCCAAGAAGGCATCAATTTTCTTGTGAGCTACAATTTTTTTTAAGCAGATGCGACTTTATCTAAATACTAAGCACAGAGGTCAATGCTACCTTCAAATTTTTTTCAAGGGTTAATTGCCAATAGACCACTTTTAAGCTTTATCCGTGCGAATAAATCCCCCTAGTGAATTCCTTTTTATATGTCAAAGCATTTAAAAAGTTTTGAGGAGGCGGATAGACCCCTTGTTGCTAAGGATAAACCCTCAATTGCTAATGGTTTTACTTCTTATTTTAATTGTACACATTTTTACGTTAAATTTCATAAAACCCCATATAAGTTTGGGTGACTTTGACATAACTCAAAATAATTGGTGGGCATTTTCTTTAGTAACTACTATAACTAGAATCTAAATGCTAAGTTTGTATTCCTAACCATAATTATAATACTAAGTTTGTTTTTCTTGAATTTATTTTCTTCCTTAGGAGTTCGGAATGGAGTCAGAAAATTCAACTACTGTAGAGTTCGGAATGGGAGAATCAAGTATCATTAGAAGTGGAATTGCAGCCAATACTGTAAATCATCCTAAACCACTACTTGGAATGAAGTTTAATAGTTATGAAGAAGCTTATAACTATTATAACTCTTATGCATTGTTGATGGGTTTTGGAATAAGGAAGAGCACGGTAAATTACTCTCGCAAAACTAGAGAAGTGGTAGACAGAAAGTTTGTTTGTGATAAGGAGGGCTATAAATCTAATAGAGACAAGATAGAGATCTCTCTTCGGCGAGAGACGCGAGTGGGATGTAAGGCAATGATGCGAGTTAAATTATTGGAGGACAAATCGTGGGAGGTCACGGGGTTTGTTGAAGAACATATAAATCATGTGTTGAGTAGTCCAGACAAAGCAAAAATGCACAGATCACATCAACAATTCCATAAAACTCAAAGATGTAAAAAACTTATTGATAGTCTGCGAGAAGAAGGTATGCCTCCTTCCACTATTTCTCGCGTCATTAATGCAACTAATGGAAGAGAAGGTGAAATAGTGACACCACAACAATGCATTGATCATATCAGAACCCAAAGAGTCAACAATATTGGTCATGAATGCATATCTATCATTCGTCATTTTCAGAGTATGACAGCGAATGATCCAGAATTTTATTTTGCAGTAGAAGTGGACAGTAGTGGACAAATGAGGAGTGTTTTCTGGGTCGATGGAAGATCAAGAGCATCTTATTTGCAATTCAGTGATGTTATTGTGTTTTATGTGACATACAGAACTAATAAGTTCAGTCTTTCATTTGCTCCATTTACTGATGTAAATCACCATAGGCAGTCTACTTTACTTGGTTGTGCATTATTAGTCGATGAACAGGAAGATACATTTGTGTGGTTATTTCAAGAATGGCTGAAATGCATGCATGGCGTTGAACCAGGTGCTATTATAACAGATCAGGATAGAGCAATGTGTAATGCTATTCACTCAGTGTTTCCAACAACAAGACACCATTATTGCTTTTGGCACATGCAAAAGCACATTATGGATCATTTGCCTACTTTGGGGTCTCGTTATGGTGAACAGTTTCAAAGGTATTGGGGCTTGTGGTATAATAGTGCTTCAATTGAACAATGTGAAGAATATTGGCTTAAGATGAAGGAGAAGTTTGATATAAATGAAGAAGGTAAGGGATGGTTACAAACAGTTTACAAATGTTGAGAACACTGGGTGCCATGTTTTCTAAAGGACACTTTTTTTGCTGGAATGAGATCGAGCCAAAGGAGTGAAAGTGTTAATGCATTTTTTGATGGGTATGTTAACTCGCAGACTCAATTACACGAGTTTGTGACACAATATGAAAAAGCAGTAACTCATCATCGCTTAAGTGAAGCCCATGAAGATTTTAAGAGTCTTAACACAAAGCTTGTCATGCTCCTTGGACATTCAATTAAGGTCCAAGCTGGAGAAATGTATACACGCAATATGTTTGATGTATTCCAAACTGAATTCAAAGGATTTGGTACAGAGCTTTGTGAAGAATTGAGAAAAGATGGGGATATTGTTGAATACAAGATCTGTAAGTTTACAGATAGAGGAAAATGGGAGGTGGTTACTTATGAACAATCTAGTCATATGCAGTTCCGTTGCACTTGTGCTTTGTTTGAAACTAATGGTGTTGTATGTAGACATATATTGTCGTTAATGATGGCTAGGCAGATGGATTCATTACCCGACCATTACATCCTACACCGTTAGACTATACATGCCCGACATCGTAACATTGGGGTTGGCAACATTATATTTGGAAGAAACATCACACGCTGTGAAGAGAAGATTAATTTATTGAAATCTTGGGCTTTAAGAGCAAAATTCAATAATGCGCTCGAGCTTGCATTTGCTTCAGAAGAGAAGATGCAAAAACTAGATGATGTGCTAACAAATTTCATAGAATCACTAGACGAAGAAGTTGGAGAAACTCAAGATCAAATGGTGGATATTCCTCAAATTTTTGCACCCATCTCACATACAATGGAGCACATTCCTTAGATTACAGTTCGTGATCCTGATAGACTTGCAAGGACTAAAGGTCGTCCACGCAATGCTACTATAATCCAGTCAGGTTTAGAACAAGCACAAGAAAAGAAAGAAAGGAAGAAACGTATATGTAGCAGATGTGGTGAACTCGGGCATTATAGAACTAGCTGTAAAGTCAACTTGCCAAGGTATAATTAATATTTTTTCATGAAACTTTTTTTGTTTGATTAAATTCTCAGTAATGATTATTTTGTAATGTAATTTGCAGCCAAATTCTCGGTAATGATTAAATTTTTCTCGGTAATGAAGGGCTTAATATTTTTGAGGTAATGATTTGCAGCATATGTTTACACATATGTGAAGGGCTGAATATAGTTTAATACGCTCAATTCTCGGTAATGATTAAAATTTCTTCTCTTTTATGCAGCTATCTTGTAAAATCCAAGTGAATAGCATCAATGGTGGGTGGTTGGAACACAGGTTGAGCATTCTCTATTATGCAGCTATCTTGTAATGTGATTTGAGCTTATATTCAGCTACTTTGGTTGTAACTTTGGAGGTTAAGTCTTTGATGAAACTCTGTTTGATGTTGTAACTCATGATGTAGCACTGTTTGATGCTTGTAGCTTTGCTGTAGCTTATATTTAGCTACTTTGGTTATAGCTCAATTCTCTTTTATGCAGCTATCTTGTAATGTGATTTGAGCTTATATGCAGCTATCTTGTAATGATTATTCAGCTACTTTGGTTGCATCTGTTTCTTGTGATTTGAGCTTATATGATTTGCAGCTCAATCCTGGTGTTTCAGCAGGGTAGTACTTATTTTTTGTCCTGTTGATGTAATTGCTGTGAAGGCTTTGAGTTGTTAGATTACGCAGAAGCATGTTACAGAAAACAAACTTTTCTTTCTTCAATGAACAATACTTTTTGTTCGTTCACCATGTGAAATTATTTGTACAACACTTAGCATCAGGCATATCCTGTGTTTTACAAAAATTCTATGAAATAAAAGCTACAAGATTACATAGATTCAACACAATTCCTGTACCTGATTGGTATTTTTCAATTAAGCTAGCAATTCTCCCATGAATGTCCATTTCCGTTAGACTAGCTTTGGCAATGGCTGAACACGAATAAGTTAGCAACCAGTAATTCATATGATGCTTACAAACACTAGGAAAACACCAATAATTCATATGATGGGGTTTTGTTTACTACCCTCAACATCATGTAACATGGTTTCAGAGAAAGAGTCATGGTCTCTCACTCTCTAGTTCACTGCAGTCTCGTCCAGCGAATGTAGCGCAAAAATGTCCCTTCAGATTCTGAGCTTATACTATCCAACCAATAGCAACCAATTACAACTTCTCCATCTAAAATCCAAATATACCATACCCCCATATCATTAAGGGTGAGAATGTGTGATGCTGGGACTTGAAGCATACTTGAGATTCCAGCTATTCAATCTTACTTCCACATCAACCAAACATCAATTTCACCAGCAAACAACAAAAACCATCAAAATGGTCTCACCTGAACGAGTCCAGACTTTGCGAGCATAAAACAAATTACTAATCTAATTTTTCTGAAGATACAAATCCAGAACACCACAAGTTCTCATCAACATACACTTCCACAAAGAAGGATAATACATTCTTACACTCTACTTAGCACAAATCCAATAAAAATACCAAATACAAATCCAAGAAAAATACCGAATAAAAGAGCAAATACAACAAGCTTCAACAAATCCATAATATCAATCTCAATCTTTCTCTTTTCTCGCAATTCTCCACTTGACACGGCTCTTGAAACTTGTGGCCTCACGTTCGACAGCTTTGTCTGAACAAGCCCTGTCTTTGAACCTTCAAACTCCTCTTCATCAGATACCCATTTGAAGAATTCGCAATTACTCACTTTCCAATTAGCATAACACATAAGAATTGCCATCTAACCCAAATAAAAGAACACATAAGAATTGAAAGAAAAGCATAACACAAAACAAACTTTCATGCACAATAGAACCATCTGTCACTTATACACACAAACAACACAAGCAGAAATATATGCAAAAGATCCATAGTTACAACAAAACATCTAAGAAGACTCGTATTAAATCAGATGTGGAGGAACTACATGAAAGATGTTAACCCAAGAAGATATAGAGTTTGTTTGAGTAGTTCCACGGCAAAGGGACATTCTCAGTAACAAATAGTGGAAAGTAGCAATTCTTAACTTTCATCTTCTTTATTTCTTCATCAAAGAAATCCTGCCAAATTGAAGTATTTATAAAGATAAATCTGTATGACATATGGTGACTTGTTTATTCATATTTTCTAATTAAAATATCCCGAAACCAAAACAACATGCTGAAGTACGGAAAAGTACAGTATTGGCTTGCAATTATTGCAGTAGCAAGAGATGAAATAACTAGTTATCAAAAGAAATATTAATGTTGGTATGAGGGTTATGATGTTTTGTAAATAAGTATTTTTTTCTTTTAGTTTCTCGTAGTTAAAAGTGTCAATGGTTGTCTTAATTATAAAATATTCCATCATAATAACAAGTTTTAAGCACAATAATATGCAAAATCTAAGCACTCACTTGCATGCTTTCCCAAATTGCCATCTTGTTGCATGCTTTTAGAGGTCGAGAGAGAGGGGGGGGGGGATCCGTAGTTAAAAGTGTCAATGGTTGTCTTAATTATAAAATATTCCATCATAATAACAAGTTTTAAGCACAATAATATGCAAAATCTAAGCACTCACTTGCATGCTTTCCCAAATTGCCATCTTGTTGCATGCTTTTAGAGGTCGAGAGAGAGGGGGGGGGGGATC